TGCACAGGCACTTCATAATCTTCAGATAAGTTTGAAGCATTTCCATTACAGTATGAGACCGTCTCTGCTCAACATGAAATGGTTTTGATACAAAAATGGAGAGAATTTAAATTACTGTGAAGATGATCACAAATTTACCATAAAATGCAATTTTAAAACAATTTTCAGGTCTACTTATTGCAGCAGCGAACAATCTGAGAGTTCAGTGTTTCATCTACACATAATTCCAGTCTCCTCAGATACTTCAATCTGCTTGTGTTCTGATTCAGTAATATCGGTTACTTGCAGGCAGGATCCATTAAAACATGTCTGATGCACAATCACTGTGGCAGCTTAAGAGGCACTATAAGCGTTATTGACCTGCTGAGAGCATGCGGTTGTGGAAATTGCACTGCATGGTTGTCAGACTTTTTCAAAGTTAGAATTTATGTTACTGTTTATGAGTTTCTATTTTTAAGATTTACTATAAACAAAAATGACACTTCTAAAAGCACCATTTTCAGCATTTTGGTCTTCATGATTCAGCTGCTAAGTCTTGATTGTCAAATATGGGAAGTCCAAATTTTACCATGAGATTATCTTTTTCCAGACGAAATCACAGAGCAATTAATTGTTGTACGTCTCCGAGAAACTAACAGGGGTTTTGGTCAATTAATCAGTTTAGTGAATGATCCAATAATTCACCCACAAAGAAAATCTTCCTGGATATATCAGTGTTTTTAACGAATCATTTGACTAAATGATTCAGTGATTCACTAATGAATATATGGCTGTTTTGTTTCTGAATGAATCCATGATTTGAACGAATCTGTTAACTATGGTTCAATTATTTATTCATAAAGACAGTGGCTGCATCTGAGTATGCCTACTTCCCTATAGAAGGCGAAATACACTATAAGGAAATAGTCAGAGTATTCATAAAATGGTCATAAAGTAATTTACAGACAGTCACTTACCGGCTAGTCTCGTGCAGCCAGACCTTCAGACTGACGGCAGAACTTCTGTCTGGACGTCATAGCAGCTTTCATTGGCTAAGGACTGCCGAAGAGGCCATCTGACTGACATGTAAATTAACCATTCATTGTTTGTTTTGTTCAGCGTCCAGTTTAGGGGCGTGACAATGTAAAGTCAATTGTCCCAACAATAACAAACTGACGTGTAAAACTCTTGGATGTATTTTAAAGAGTCTATGCCGTAAAATCCACATACTTTTGAAAATCCAGCATTTAGTTGATCATGATAAGCGCTCATTGTCAGTTGTAAATGGCTTTCTTCTTCGTTCTTCTTCACTATTGCTTTGTTTCCTGGTGGACTGTTAAAGAATGCGACACACATGTCTCCCGGAAATCCTTTAGTATTCAACCATTCAAATGACGACCATTTTGTGTAGGCTACCTTATGTATCAGATGTTCAGCCAAAAGTCCATGGGTGTGATATCTAGCTGAGATTAGAATATGCCTACTTCCCTTTATATAGTAGGTGAAATATACATCCAAATTCCCAGTATTCATAAAATTGTTGCAAAATAATTCTACTATTCAGAGACAACGTGATTGCGGATGCTGCCAATCACTTGATTCGTTCCTGAATAAAACAATGTTTTTGACAAATTGCCACGTCATCAAATAATGTCTCAATTTAAAGGTGCAGTAGCCTATGTAATATTGTTTGCTGGCTTCCTTGGCTACAATACGCTGTGTTTCCCGCCAGCTGGCAACCCGGGGTGTCGAAATACTATTGGGTGAATTGGCAGAGGGCGGGATCACACAGACAAACAAAAACGGACATTCCGACACGGAGCGACACGGAGCGCATATTTCAAAGTAGAATAACGTTGTTTTTCTAAGAAACAAATACTTAGAACTTAGATGTTTCCTAAATATCTGCAAACATATTATGGTATTTTTGTGCTTGAGTACTGTCAAAACGTTATACATACTGTCACAATCCTCAGTCACCAGTCCAGTCCCTTCACCATCACCGGTCACCTCCGCACTACATTTCCCATAAATCCCTCCTGGCTCACACCTGCCCACACTTCACAATCATCCACGCCTGCCTTCATTCGCCCTCACCAGCTCCACTCCATTTAAGCAGTCAAACCCCAGTTCACTGTGTCTCGTTGTTCAAACCTGAACCATGAGTTTGTCCAATTTTACTACGTAATGCAAGACAAAATTATTGATGATGAAATAATTCATTGATGAATATGTTTTGTTGTAAATTATTTACATAACGCTAAACTGTGCATATCAATGGAGACCACAGATGGTTGTCATTTACCTGTATTGCATTAATAGAAAGGCAGTTAGGCTAATATAAGGTTTTTTATATATATAAAGTATTTTTCAAATTTTAATACCGTAGTCATCTACGGTCATCACTTCTCATTATAGTGTTTAATGCTGAGGAGGACTCTAGCCTGAGGAAGGACTGGACTGGACTTCCATTTGAGAAGCACCCATATAACCCTGTAATCCTGAAGAACTTGATTAGCTTGTTCATGAGTGCATGTTTGATTAGGTTTGGAGTAAAACTCTGGAGTGTTCCTTGAGGGCCAGAGTTTAGAACCCCTGTGGAAGACGTGATGATTAATTGTAATTGACAATATATGAAAACATGATCAAAATGTTAAAACAATAAATATTAAATGTAAGCTTTGCCCTGCTTTAAAGAACAAGACAGAAAACGCATGAGCATAGGTGACAGAAGGTGAAAGAAACACAATGTTCAAGTGAAACATTTGTTCTAAAACATGTTGTTCTCACATTTGCCATTCACACGTCTCTCTTTTTCTGCTTTTACTTTTTTAATTTACTTTTCCACAAAGTTCGTCATCTTAACACCATTTTTTCCTTGTAGATACATTTGATTTACCTCCATTACTAATCTTTCTCATTTTGCATTGTTGTAAAAGTTTAATATTGTTTGTCTGGCTAAACTTTTATCTTAAAACAGTTTCAAAAGGCAGAGGTTAGGCTCTGCAAACAGAGCCTTAAGCGCTGTTATGAATACATTAATCAAAAGCATAAGAGCTTGAGTCACATCGTTTATTCTCTGGTCATTTATGGCTGATATGCACAACCATTCATTATTTACTTTTGAATCATTTAGATAGTACACTTTATTCTAAACCCAGAAAAACTTTAATTGCATCCTGGTATCATCAATATTTTACTTTATTTGTGATAGACCATTGCATCTGATGTACCTTTTATGTAGATCTGAGAGACAAATAAAATAATATTTTCTTAATCAGCTCATGGAAAAAGAAATATGAAATTCCAAATGATAACTGAGCTTTTAATTAATCATTAAACAGGGAACACTGCTAGGATGAAATATTGTTTGTATTTTTCTGAGATTCTGTGGCCAGTCTAATTGGCTGACAAGACTTTAGGGGTAAAGCTTATATGCGAGATGAAATTGGTGGCCACCAAGCTCAACACACAACAACAACAAACATAATATCATAAACTTACATAAGTTATTTGTGTATTTTTGCCTCAAACTTGGGGGCATATATACAAACTAGGACTTCATATAGATGTTTTTTCACCACAAGACTAGAACAAATCCAATCCAAAAAATATTTTTTTAATATAATTGCACTTTTTAAGTTAATCGAACATGTTTATTTATTAAATGTACCTCATGCAAAAATAGTGAAAGATGTGTATTTCTTATAGCTATGTTATCAGTCTGATGTTAAAACTCTTGTTGGACAAAGTCATGCTTTTATCTTTATTGTAATAGCTTTATCTGGAAGGAATTGCCCAGAGACACCAATTGAGTCCAAGTGTTGAAAATAAAGTCTTGATGTTATTGCCCAGCAAAAAAACTGTTCAAACATGTGGTACAATAACATGGAAGATTTGCACACAGAGTTTAGGTAATTAAACAGTCAAAAATTGCATCTCCATTGCATCTCCCAATGACCAATGTAATCAACGTCGTCATATAGTTTGCAGAGTCTGCCAGAAAAGTTACAAGGGCATGTCAATGATAGCACTTTTACAATTGTTCAAAAGCAAGAAATCAATGCTCTGGTTTCTCAATCAAGTATCACACACACACACACACACACACACACACACACGCCTTTATTGTTATTATTCATGCAACTCCAATAATCTGGTTATGTTTATCTGTTTCTTGCCAGGCAGAACGTATCAATGTGTACGAAATGGCAGGCGACTCCGACGATACAAGCTTGTGCTTTTCTTACCGTCTTGTCTCAGGAAATCGGCCTTATCAGTCTTGCCCAAGCTGTTATAGCAGAATAATTTTACAGCTGGCTGAGAAAGCCTTGGCGACCCTGGATCGTGTGCTGTGCAGGCAAAATTTAACCTTGGTGTCCCTTATCAAATTAGAACTGCCTTTTGTTTACTACCGGCTGACAGAAAGCCATATTTGTGATGGGTCTTTTTCTCTGGGTGAGGCCAAGTCGCTGATGGATAATTTATGATTTATGTATATGTGGCAAAACACACTGCTATTTGTACAACGTGAAACCATGGAGACCATGAGATATTTTATTTTGTTGATAAATAAAGTAAGGTGTGAGGGCTGTGCTGTATAGAAGTCAAGTCATACATTTCTACAGGCTGATCAGTTGCCTTAGACATTGGATTATTATCCACAAATATTTGACTTTTGAATGCTGTGATGACCAATCTGAATAGAGTATTTCAGAGAGCTGTGCAAAATATTTATCAATTATTTATCAAAATATTTATCAATTTATCTATCTATCTATCTATCTATCTATCTATCTATCTATCTATCTATCTATCTATCTATCTATCTATCTATCTATCTATCTATCTATCTATCTATCTATCTATCTATCTTTCTATCTGTCTGTCTGTCTGTCTGTCTGTCTGTCTGTCTGTCTGTCTGTCTGTCTGTCTGTCTGTCTGTCTGTCTGTCCGACCTCAATGGGATCCGTGTAGGTGTACAATCCACCTCTAGATGTCGCTGTGACAAACGTCACACAGTATTCTGGAGCTCAAGCGCCCTCTTCGGCACTCGTTGATTGTACACAAATGTGGACTGGACGCATGCTGCTGGATACCCATTCACAGAGTGAGTACCTATGGTGAGTACACGAGACACACGCTGTATCTATTAACCTAGCGAGCTGACTACCTAGACAGCGATGTTATGCGCGTTTGATGCCCCCCTAAAAAACTGTTTTTCTACTCAAACGCTGAACGCGCATACGTCTGCTGTTTAGGAAAGTTAGTCTGCTCTCTAGGTTTTGAGACAGAGCCAAATGTCAAGTGTTCAGTAAGTGCTTGTCGCTGTGGGTTCTCTCGCTGTACATTTTGATGGCATGTTTATCTTCTCCATCACTTTTATGGACGGATTATTTCTCATAGTTCATCTTCTGTATTAATCTTCGTGATGTAATAATTTCTTTACGATATCTCTTGAGGTTTGCTTTAAACTCGGCCTGCAAAATGTATGAAGTAGTGAGCTTTGCTAAAGATTTGAGTGAAATCGTGCCAGAGCTGAAAGCTGTAGATAATGATATTTGACTTTCATTAAAAATACATTCTGTCCCTGAAGAAGCACTTGTGTGATTTACTTGTGCATATAATGAGGGAGTTATTAAAGTTTGTAAACTGTAAATTATTTGGGCACTCAACCTTAGAATGAACTCTGGCTCTTCTTTAAAGTACAACAAGAACTGATGTCAAGCAGAGAATTTCCCCAGACTAAGTCAGAGAGCCTTGAAATTTCATTCAATAGAAGTAATTACAAAAATACCCAGAGGGAAAAAACGACACAACAAGGGCCACATTAATTAAAAACACAATGGAGGAAAGAAAGAACTTACTTTAGCCGTTGACAAGGCTGATTTTTTAACTGGCAGTCTTGCCTTTTAAAGTAAAAAAAAAAAAAAAAAAACTCCCTCAACCTTTTACTGTGTTGTGATAAAGATAATTGTGAGGCGTTTACCCCTCAGAATCACCTTGTTAACAATTTAATAATATTAATTAGTAATTGCCTCTTTTTTAAACATAACATCTTTGTACATAATTGTATTCTTCTCAAAAGCAACTTATAACAAGCACACACGACACGTGTGACTTTCTTCTCTGGGACACAAATGGAGATATTTTAAAGTATTGGGCTGGTCACTCTTTTCCATGCAGTTACAATCAATGGGAACTTTCAATGTTTTCCAGATTCAAAAATCTCATTTAAGTAGACTATGACTTAACATTCATGAATTGACAATAAAGAGCAAAGGATTGTACTGTGGTTGTTTGGATGGCTTTAAAAGTTTCACCGAGGGTCAGATGAATAAATAAAGCCGCTGAGAAGGGGAGAGGGAAGTATACGTTTACATGTATTGTACATGCATTCCGAAAATAGTTTTGTCTTGATGACATGTACTGTCTGAAGATCTTTTTTAGTAAATAGTATATTCAGTCTCCTCCACTAAGCAGTTTGTGAGATGTAAAAAAACCATATACACACATTCGTAGGGGGCAAAACGTATGTAAACGTACGCATTACAGCACCTGGCACGTGTGTAAAGTATTTTTGAATCCATTTGAGAAAATGTTGATTGTATTATTTCAGGTCTACACCTCCCCTTTTCAATCAAATAGAAATTTAATTTGGATTTGGATCGATTGACGTATTTATATCAAGGTTTTTCAGTCCAATTGAGCCATCAGTCCAATTATAAATAGTTTATTTGCTTACAAGTAAACAGCACATTGATAATAAGACTTAAAGGAATAGTTCACACAATTTTAATTATCCCATAATTTACTCACCCTCAAACAATGTATATGGCGTAGGTGTATATGATTTTCTTCTTTCAGCCGAACACAATCAGAGTTATATTAAATAATATCCTGGCTCTTTACAGCTTTGTTATGCCATTAAATAGTGCCTGAGTTTTTGAAGCTCCCAAAAGCACATCCATCCATCATAAAAGTAATCCATGCGACTCTAGTGGGTTAATAAATGTAATGGCAATTACTATAGGCTAATTACTGGCTTCTGGCAATGGCTGTACGTGCGTTCACAAGATAGTCGAGTTCCGTCGGTAGGCTGACCTCTGACCGCTTCGCTTCAGAAGGCATTTATTAACCCACTGGAGTTGTATGGATTACTTTTATGATGGATGGATGCGGTTTTTAGAGCTTCGAAAACTCAGGTACTATTCAATGCCATTACAAAGCTGGGAAGAGCCAGGATATTTTTTAATATAACTCTGATTGTGTTCGGCTGAAAGAAGAAAGTCATATACACCTAGGATGGTTTGAGGGTAAGTAAATTATGGGACAATTTTCATTTAGGGGGAACTATTCCTTTAAATTCTTCACTCAATACTGGCTTCACATGACTTCAGAACTATTTTTATAAAGTGCATGAGTCATATGAACCAATTTTATGGGACAATTATGGGGTTTTCGCATCCTTTTTTGAAGCTGGTAAAAAAATTACCACGACGACTCTTTAAACTGTCTCTTTTTGTGTTCCACTGAAGAAAGAAAGTCATACGGGTTTTATTGGACATGAGGGTAAATAAATAATGACAAAATAATACAATAAATGATGAGTTTTTTTTTTTTGGGTGCACTGCTCCTTTAAAGGAATAGTTCACTTCAAAATGAAAATTCTGTCATCATTGACTCTCCCTCAAGTTGTTTCAAACCTGTATGAATTTCTTTCTTCTGCTGAACACAAAAGAAGATATTTTGAAGAATGTTGGTAAACAGACAGTTGATGGGCCCCATTGACTTCCATAGGAAGAAAAAAATACTTGATGATGGAAGTCATCAACTGTTTGGTTACCCATATTCTTCAAAATATCTTCTTTTGTGTTCAGCACAAGAAAGAATAAGAAATTCATACAGGTTTGAAACAACTTGAGGGTGAGTAAATGATGACAGAATTTTCATTTTGAAGTGAACTATTCCTTTAAGGCCCAACTGCTTGAGTTTGAGTTTCTGTTGCAATGTCTTTTTGACAGCACTCTACTTTCATCAATAGTTTTGTGGGTGTCAGGTTGGATTAGCCCCTTTTAGTTGCTATGTTGATCCATTTTGGCAGAGTGTTAGGGATGCACCTCTCTACCTTCATTGATCTGTTCTCAGCGGGATTGATCCAAGTAATGACATTTTGCACTGTGTGTTGAGTAAATAATGAAATATTTATCTCGCATATAAAGCTTGAAGTGCTGTCCTCTCAACCAGTGCTTTCATAATCAGCCAGGATAAGACATCTGTTTCTGGACAGAATACAACAATCAATTAAATTTTCTTTCTGGTCGTGAAGCTTGAAACTTTTCAATTTATCATTTAAATGAGGTGTTCTTCAAAACTTTAGCCATCTGATTGATTGTGAAAAAATAAGTACATTTTAACATACTTTTAAAAAGAGAACTTATTATGGAAAATAATATATTTAAGTGCACTGCAAACTAATGTTTTCGAACAGTCATGTTAATTTCAATTTAAAAAAAAAAAAATAGATGTAGTTTTATATGATTAAAAAGTCCTGATGAATACTCAAACATTTATGGTAAACTAAATATTCTTTAATGCACTTTCTAATGAAACTTATAAGTCATGTATATACATTTAATTGCTCATTTGTAATAATGAAGTTGTAATGTATAATTTAAGTATAATAAAATATAACTTCGAACAACATACAGTTCAAATTATAATACTTTACATGTGCTTTATGTTAATCAACGGAAGATTATTTGCTAAAACAATGTAGCTACTTTAAAGTAAAATTTTTAATTGGACATTATTACAAAGTGCATTTTTACTAAAGTGTACTTACACTTTTTCTCAGTCACTTTGGTATATTTCTCAAATCATCCTTAAGATTGGAAAACCAGTAAGTGCATTTCTCGAAACAATTCGGACAAACAGCACACAATGCAGAATCGCTTACTCAAAATCCTTTGTTCATCTCTCAAAAGTAAGTATTTATGTCAATGAACATATCAGTACTATCAGAATGACAAGTCATTGTGTCATTGTTCACAAGCAAGATAGTAAAAAAAATGCTTAGTCATGTTGTCAATATAATAGTGTACTCTGTCAGTATTTTCAGATGTAAAATAAGGCTACGATTTTGATGACAATGATTGAAAATGCACTAGACTGCACTTTATCTGTATGGCACATATACATTTCAGCAGTAAATTTACACAGCGTGGGATATTGATTGCAAGAGACTTTTACTGTTGGTCTGTCAACAAATCACAGTACAATGTCATTGCGATATAAAGAAAAAGACATTTCTAATCTTGGCCTCTTCTACCTCTTCCACTGTTTTGCCTCCGTACCCTTCCACCACTCATCCTTACTCCTCTTCTTCTTCCCGGCCTGTTGACCCTGTTTGTTTCCTTGTTCTTCTTCCATTGTCAGAATTTGTAACACTGTGTTGTGCTCTGTCTATACATGCTTGCCAAATGAAGCTTCATGCGAACTTTTGAAGCTCTTTTAGAGAACTGGTTGATCATTGGTCATAGCCCTGCACATCATCTAGCCCTTTACATTTCCCCTCATTAGTGAAATAAATTCAGAATTCATCTCCGGAATTCATCAATTCAGGACACATTTACAAAAAAAAAGTCTTATAGAAAATATGCTTCTCAGTTTATGACAACTAGTTGAACTATTTTACTGACTTATGCAATGAACTAATGCTTAGGTTTTGAGGGGTAAGACTATTAAACAGGGAACCAGTATAATACATTTTGATCAACATGACATAAGCAATTGATAATGTATGAAACAGACAATTATTCATAATCTATTGCATGAATGTTTGCAATTTGTTCAAAAGAATGTGAATCTCAACATGACATCATGACTTTGCGTAAACATACACGCCACTTTCAATTCAAGTGGCGTGTTATCTATACGCATTTTGAGCTATCCGCGTGTATGTCCACGCCGAAATCTTTTGCGTGTATGTCTACGCCATTAAATGTCCGAGTGATTCCGCGTGTATGTGTACGCCGTTAAATGTCCGAGCGAAACGAAGCAAAATCTATATCTACATCTGTGGAGCGATATTTCTTTTCCTAGGATGGTAGGAGAAGACTCATAAATGGTATTAACCCCAGTGACGGGTAGGTTTAGGGACGGGGTTGGGGTAGGTCATATATTTATATATACATAATACAGTAATATAACGTTAAGTCAAAGGCGTTGATAAACACGCTGAAAAGCGATTATGCGTGTTGATAGCACGCCAAAAATGAAAATACGAATTGGCGTGTCATACATACGCCATTTCATGAGATCAGCTGCATGCTTTTATGATGTGTACAAGTGACTAGATGATGTTGCACGAGTAGTTTTGAGAATTTCAGTTGTGATCTGAGAAATGCACCAAAGCCACTGAGAAAAACTGTTATGAAAAAAAAAAAACTTTAAAGATTTGAAGTACACTACAAGTGCACATTCGTTGCAAATTATTAAAATAGACTAACAGATAATTATCATTGAATTATCCACTCAAGGGATTCATTCAAAAACACTCATTCATTCAGGAATTAAACACTCCTAATGTTGCTAGGAGGCGTGCAACGTTTGATTCTGTTTTGGCTTTATTATAATAAGCAAACATACAAATGTATCTGCCAATATTGTGTCTAAATGTTTCTCATGTTTAAAAGTTACTCATGTTAGCTTTTGTTTATTGAGCAAAATCACACATGCGAATGTGTGCTGTTGTCTTCTCTTTTCTAAGTGGGTAGTTCCTGATCAGAATAATCTGCTGTTCAGACCAGTAATCTGGCTGTGAGACTACCATGAGCTAAACTAGTGACACATTACAGGAGTAGAGCATAGGTAAGTTAGATAGGAAAAGTTAGCATTCACAGGACCGAGAGGTCATAGGCAAGACCGTGAAAGAAGGTGAGCGAAGGAACATTTCTTCCATTTCTGTTTTTATCTTGTATTTTAGACGTCAAATTGTCTATTGTGTTTTATTTTTCAGTGTATTACTTTATCTGTCATAATAGAAATAGAAACCTGTTGTTTTGATTAGAACATCTAATTTGCCAGATCTTTTTGTGTTGTCTTTTAATATGTTTTTATTTGTTTTCTTCTTCAGTTGATGAATCCAGCTTATTATAAACACAGACCATGGATGAATTCGCTCCATTAGATTGCCTTTCGCCTCCAGGTAATTATTCATTTGAAACTCATTTAAATGTCTGAATGTATTTATTCTTGCCCATGCATGCATTTACACTTTGTCCAGAAGAACATAAACATAGTTAATAAATATATCACAGAAGTTTAACGCAGTTACAATTTGCCACTTTGCATGTTCACAGTTATTATAATGTGCTATGTCTTACACGTTATAACTGAATTTTAATAAAAATCTTTTACTTTCAGTGTTTTTTAATTCACTATGGCTTAGAAAAAGATTTTCAAAGAAATGAAATGGTTCCCTTTGTCCATCATTTCTGGTTTATTCAGGTGTAATAATTTTTTTGTTTGTACAGATAAGACTACACTAACACAGTCATATTGATAATGGCAAATGTCTGTTTTGCATATTTTATCACACAATGTGGGTTTCTGGGTGTGTTTTTATTAGATCTGTACATTTATTATTGGTTCTAAGAATAGATGAACCTAAAACTGTTTTAAACTGCTGTTTTCTTGAGCAAAAACCAGGAACTATTAAAACAAGCCAAATTAACACAGTGATTTATTTCCAAGTTCAGGCAATGCTGGATGTGGCTGTTTAGTTTTTTGCTTTTTAACAGGATTGTAGAAGCAGTTTGGCAATCAGCTAATGATCCCAGACAAGTTAACTTTTTGCAGAGCCCCACCCCCACATGCAATAACTGGACAAAACAGCCCCATTCAATCTGAGAGCAGTCTACAGCAAAATAACAGATCTGTTCTGGAGGATTCTTTTATTCAAAATTATATCCCTCTCTGGGTAGGTGCCCCATAAATACATGACCAGAAAGTAAGTAATCAGGTTCTAATGATTGGCCAAGAATTGCAGCCATGCTTTCAATATGTCTGAGACCGCCTGTGGTCATTACAGTAATGAATGCATTCTCAACGACTAACATCAACTTATGTCCGGTTCCCTACAAATTTTTGCTGGTAAAGTGGTGAAGGTGGTTTACTGTCAAATTCACTAAAATGTACAACTTTTGTGCCGTAATTTAAAACCTGAGTCTTGACCGCACACAATGCTGTTTAACGAGACTGAAAAGGCCTTGTGCTGCACTGTGAGAATTCTTAAAACATGCTCTCTATAAAACGTTAGGCTCAGCCATTCTTACTGTAATTAGAATAAATTTAAGAAATGTTAAGAGCGGTTTTAGTTGTAGACTGCATTGCAATGCTATTATTATTATTATTACGGTATTGTTATTATTATTGTAGGATTACATTTTTTATGTGCTTTTGTTATTTTTCAAAAGACTTTTAAGAATTAGGTGTGAAACCATCAGGAACCCTAGTCTCCAGTGCCACCATTTTACAAAACTGCAACCTACTTGAAGTCTCCAGAAGTACACTCACCTAAAGGATTATTAGGAACACCTATTCAATTTCTCATTAATGCAATTATCTAATCAACCAATCACATGGCAGTTGCTTCAATGCATTTAGGGGTGTGGTCCTGGTCAAGACAATCTCCTGAACTCCAAACTGAGTGTCAGAATGGGAAAGAAAGGTGATTTAAGCAATTTTGAGCATGGCATGGTTGTTGGTGCCAGACGGGCCGGTCTGAGTATTTCACAATCTGCTCAGTTACTGGGATTTTCATGCACAACCATTTCTAGGGTTTACAAAGAATGGTGTGAAAAGGGAAAAACATCCAGTATGCGGCAGTCCTGTGGGCGAAAATGCCTTGTTGATGCTAGAGGTCAGAGGAGAATGGGCCGATTGATTCAAGCTGATAGAAGAGCAACTTTGACTGAAATAATCACTCGTTACAACCGAGGTATGCAGCAAAGCATTTGTGAAGCCACAACACACACAACCTTGAGGCGGATGGGTTACAACAGCAGAAGACCCCACCGGGTACCACTCATCTCCACTACAAATAGGAAAAAGAGGCTACAATTTGCAAGAGCTCACCAAAATTGGACAGTTGAAGACTGAAAAAATGTTGCCTGGTCTGATGAGTCTCGATTTCTGTTGAGACATTCAGATGGTAGAGTCAGAATTTGGCGTAAACAGAATGAGAACATGGATCCATCATGCCTTGTTACCACTGTGCAGGCTGGTGGTGGTGGTGTAATGGTTTGGGGGATGTTTTCTTGGCACACTTTAGGCCCCTTAGTGCCAATTGGGCATCGTTTAAATGCCACGGCCTACCTGAGCATTGTTTCTGACCATGTCCATCCCTTTATGGCCACCATGTACCCATCCTCTGATGGCTACTTTCAGCAGGATAATGCACCATGTCACAAAGCTCGAATCATTTCAAATTGGTTTCTTGAACATGACAATGAGTTCACTGCACTAAAATGGCCCCCACAGTCACCAGATCTCAACCCAATAGAGCATCTTTGGGATGTGGTGGAACGGGAGCTTCGTGCCCTGGATGTGCATCCCACAAATCTCCATCAACTGCAAGTTGCTATCCTATCAATATGGGCCAACATTTCTAAAGAATGCTTTCAGCACCTTGTTGAATCAATGGCACGTAGAATTAAGGCAGTTCTGAAGGCGAAAGGGGGTCAAACACAGTATTAGTATGGTGTTCCTAATAATCCTTTAGGTGAGTGTATAAGGTGTCAGTTTCTCTGAGACTTTGTTAAGGAACAATTCGGAAATCCCTTAATAAGAATCACAAGCTGAAGTGTTGTGAAATACATGAAGACCGACTGTTTTAAAGGCTTTATAGACAGATAGGTTGACAGTGACTCTTGAGGGACCAGCAACACTCTTGTACGACTGTTTGAAGAATTGATCTTCCTGAATCTGGCAGTGAGTTTTTGGAGTTAATTTTAAGTCCAAGTCTCCTACCCTGAATGGTTCGTCTTGCTTATTGTTAGTAGCAGTTCACACCGTGACTCCCTCGCCACCGCCGCTGTTGTCTGACTCGAACTGGTGCTGGTCCCTCAAGAGTCACTCTCAACCTCTCCATAAAACTTTTTTAAAAGTCAGTCTTCATCTATTTTATGACACTCAGTTTGTGATTCTTATTAAGTGTGTGTCATGTTCAGGATTCCTTGCCTTAGCAAAATCTCAGAGAATCTGACACCTTGTACTTCTGGAGACAGCAGGTAGTTTGCAGTTGGAGACTAATGGAGGCACTGGAGACTAAGAATTAAAGGTGAAGAATTAAGTGTGAAACCACCAGAAACTGTTTAAAGTCTTTTGCAGTTAACAATTCTAATTCTACTAAATTATTATATTCAAAATTAATAGTAGTTATTAAAATGTATGTGGTTTGGAATTGGTAAAATGTGCTTGGGAAAACTATATTTTTTGAATATCGACTTGCCTAATAATTATGCACGCACTGTATATGTGTTTTTTTTTTTTGAGATCAAGATTTTATTTTATTTTATTGGAATCTCAACTTAAAAGTTGTTTTCTCTTGCTCTTATAGTAGAGCTTATCTCTTCTGTAAAGAACTGGTTTTAGTGTATAGTATACTTGCTGTGCATATATTTTCACAGTTTTCCCATAAGGTCCACATACTCAAGAGATTTCGAGACAAAAGACTCAAGTGAACAAAAATACCCTGGAATAGATAGATGTGACTTTACACTTCTCTGATATGTTCTATATAGCCCTTCAGTGAAATGAAGACTGAAGACATGGCCTAGATTTTTGACCTAATCCAAAAATACGCCATTCTCAAGTCTCAGTGTGTCCTTACGATCCTTCGATTCATACATATTCAAAACATTTATGTTTAATGGAACTCTGTTTAGAATAAGAAATTGCGTTTCATGTCCTATTCATTCCAATTTGTGAACTAATCAAACCCAGCTTGTTTATGTGTTGAATTGCTAATTTGTTGTATCCTAATGAATAGCAAGCTTCTCAGCTAATTTGGTATATGGTAATATCTGTGTATTTCAATTGATAATTCCCAGAGAAGAATATTCTAATGTGGAAAATGTCCTTGGTGCCCTACTAAAAGTGCATGCTGTCAAAAATGCAATTTACAGGAAATGAAAATCTGTGACTGAAATGTGAAAAACCGATTTTGTGTAACTGTTGCAAAATACAGATGTTGTCCTTTCGCCACTGCCTAGGGTGTTGCGATAGCTCTCATTATTTTATACAGTGTTTTCGCACCTCAGGACCTTGATATTTCCCCAGTCTGTTCCGCAAGATGTGTTCTGTTCACGCCCACATTCAGTATACTTGTGATTTATTCGGAGACAGTTTTGACACCTACACTGTGTACTTCACTTGTTACGTTTCCTCATCCTGTGATGTTGGTGATTCTTTTTTAACAATGTGCATTAAAAACAATGCTCTAATGCTGACGTATGTCCTTAATCCTGCCAGCATTTGGCCATGTAGTAGAGACTTCAGTTGTAGCATTGTGCTGTATGGAGAAACATTTGATTAGCTTCATGTTAGAATAACTATAATTATAAATGTGTGAGTAGCTTGGCTCTGAAATGTATCGCAATTAAATGTGTGAACCCATGCATTTTGTACTGTTTTTGTGCACTGGGAGGCCTTACAGAACATTATCTTGAAATATAAATAACGCAAAATTATAGAGTAATCAAATTTAGTTGTCTTCTATAGTGTTTCAAGCTGTATAGTTGGATCAATATGTGACAGAAAGTTTATTATATGTTAGAAAAATAAATAAGAAATTATATTTTACTACAAAAAGTGTAAGATTAAGAATTGATTTCATAGTACCCCTTTCCCATTTTCATTTATTTATTTAATAATTCATTTATTTAAAAAAAAAACTACTGTTTAAAAAAATCTGTTCTTTATTGACTATAATTGATTTCCTGTACTATCACTAAGAATGAAAGTGATATATATTTGTGTTAATTATTTATATTGTGTTTAATTATTAATTTATATGTTTGTATAATAATTATTATTTGTATAATATCTGTAAAATCAGCTGAAATTGATATGTTAATATCACACAGTTTGCTTTAAATTGCTGCACATAAAGCACATCTATACATCAGAATTTGTGTTTAGGCAATTACCAAAGGCATTAGGCTGTATTATCACAGTTATTACTCTTGCTGTTTTCATTAGCTGCTTCGATTTATCTCACCAGATTAAACCAAATATTACAATGTGTTTTTCTCAGTGGCACAATGTAAATGAAAGAGACTTCATCATAACCACAGGGTGCTATTGAAATATTTCTGCCCATTAATGTTCAATTTTGTTTTCTTTCACCAGGAAAACAGAGGATTTGCTTGGTTATCCTAAATCAACCGTTGGATGAGCGGTACTTCCATGTACTGTGGAGTAAAGGTATTGATTTTGTGATGAATTTCACGCATCAGCCTTTGATTTGATGCTTGTCTGTACTTGTCTGGCTTGATTGTGCAGTAGAGAATGGTGAGATAGCTGGCACAGAACTCTCTGGATAAGGTCAGACAGGCCTAATTGGTGAGATATAGAGGCACTGTATGCTATAAAGCCCCTATAACCCATAATGCATTAGTCATCTTTTTGATCCCCCACTGGATGATGTATGATTACATAACTTTTTTTGTTTTCTGTTTGTCTTTATAGTGCTGTGTGCTTTCAGGTAACTTTATTTGCTGATCCAAAACAATTTTCAATTGCAGCCTGATTTATAGCTCTTGTATTGAATTGTAGATCATGACTAGTTGTGTCTCGATGTATGTACTGTTTTATGTACCGAATTATGTATTATACAATACGCACTTATATTATGCACTGAGTTTTCTCTTGTTGGAATTGTCAGTGTGAACCAGTGTTGTTATTGTTAACTAATACTATCAAAATGGTTTTCGTTCATTGAAATAAAGTTGATATTAAGTAAAACATAAATATTAGATCTTAAAATAACCATTGGCAACAAACTGAAAGAAAATAAGCTGAATCACTAAGATTGCTACAACTGAAACTGAAAAAAAATAAAGCTGAATAGAAATATATATATATTGACATGTCTGTAAAAAATTTACTAAAACTCAAAATAAAATTAAAATATTATATTAAAAATATTATATTAAAATTATAAATATAATAGTATATAAAAATACTAAAATAACACTGATGTGAACACACTACTCACACTATTTATAATAAAAACTGGCATAGCATATTGATTGAATTTATTCATGTATTTTTGCTGTGGAACTTCCTTAAATGAAGACTATTTATTACATTAGACATTACATTACTGAGGCAGATGACTAAATAATTGAAAAACATTTTTGAACATAAATTATTGAAAAACATTTTTAGCTAAGGTTTAGGGGGCATGATTAATTGCATTAATTTTCATATTGCATTATGTTTTCGTAATTAATTGGACTAATTTTGTGCATTCATTTGATTGCCCTAGTTTGTAAGTCCAGGATTGTTCACATGATTTTTAGGGCTAGCAAAGCGTTCAGCAGTAAAATAAGTCAAGAAAATGCTTTTTATTTGTTTTCTATCATTTGATGTAGACTCTTCTCTTAAGAGAGTTGCCGGTTTGGTTCTATGCGGGTGAGAGTTTGTTAACTATGATTTTCTTAATGCTGATTTAAACAAATTACTTTTTTTTTCTTTCTCTCATTTAAAAACTCTTGATCATAATTCCCCTGCCCTTGCATTAGAGCTGCTGTGCATGTTTCATGCAGCTTTGCTCTGGAGGCAAAGCAGGTTGTCGATGAGTGCGTTGCTGGGAGCAGGGTGAGCATATCCAGATGGTTTTCCTTGAGGGACCGGGGCAGGACGCTCCACCCCTCCTCCAGTGAGCCTCAGAAGTGCAGCCCTATGGGCCTGTGGCACCAGCAGCTCTCTATAGGGCTGGATGATCAAAGACTGCTCTTTGCAGATACCAACACATTTTTGGACTCTTTTCAAAACCGCCTTCAAAAGTTCCCTTCTTTCCTAGTCCAGTTGCGTCATTAGTACTGAATTTAGAACCGGAAATGCTTTGTGTGGAAGTTACTAGCGGATTAGTAGATGCATGCTATAGGCTTAGACATCAGAGTAGCTGCCAAAAACTAACGAAAACAAGGCTGCCGGGAACGGAAATACAGTTTGTTTGTTACCTGTGTACCCATTATTGATCCTTCTGTACTTCTGTTACTCACAGCCTTGTTTTTGTTAGCCTCAATATAAAAATGCCAGTTACTCTGACTCAGGTCCATTTCTATTTTGTACACTACCATTAAAAAATGTGGGTTGGTAGCATTTCTTTTTATGTTTTTGGAAGAAGCATTTATTTGATCAGTAATACAGTAAAAACATTTATATTGTGAAATATTATTACAATTTGAAATAACTGATTTATTTTTTTCATATATTTTAAAATGTGATTCCCTTTGATGGCAAAGCTGAATTTTCAGCAGTCTTCAGTGTCACATGATCCTTCTGAAATCATTTTAATATGTTGATTTGGTGATCAAGAAAAAAAAATCTTATTATTATAACAGTTGTGCTGTGTAATATTTTTGTGGAAACTGTGATTAATTTTTTTCAGTATGCTTTGATTTATTAGAATTTTTTTAACAATGTAAATATCTTCATGGCTACTTTTGATCAATTTAATCTGTCCTTTCTTAACAAAAGTATTAAATATAAACGCTATTAACTAACTATTAACTATGACTTTTGCCTCCGTAAACTCCTAAACTTAAATACTGCTTATTAATAGTTAGATGTTAAGTTTAGGTATTGGGTAGGATTAAGGGTTGTAGAATATGGTCATGAAGAATAAGGCATTAATATGTGTTTTAATAAACAGCCAATATCCTAGTAATATGCATGCTAATAAGCAACTATTTAATCTGAGAATTGGACCCTAAACTAAAGTGTTACCAAAAATTATTTTTGACCCCAAAGTTTTGAATGGTAGTGTAAAGCCAGAAGTTTCCCTCGGACAATTGGTATGAAACAAGTTGAAAATTCATTTTTGATGTGCCCAAATTGTCACGGAACACACACAGGAGGCAGAAAATCCAAGAGCAGTAGTTTAATTAAAGGGCAATCCAAACTCGTAGTCATCCAGGCAGGGGTCAAAATCCCATAAGGCAATCCAAAACACAAGACAAAAACATGAACAAGAACAGGCAGCAAACAGGAACAGAAGTGTGCGGACATTAAACAAGGACTCCGTAACAAACACTAACACAGACAGGGCATATATACACACAGAACTAACAAGGTGATGGGAAACAGCTGAGTGCAATAATCAGATAAGTGACAGAACAGAATGCTGGGAATTGTAGTCTAATGTGAATAACACCGTGAGAACGAGGACCTCTAGTGATAACCCAGGCAAACACAACCAGACACTGTGACAGAACCTCCCCTCTACGGAGCGGCTACCAGACGCTCCATGACAGTACACAAGACAACCCAAGAGTCCAAGAGGAAGGTGGAATGTGGGAAATCCAAGGGAGGGATGGGAGGGCCAGGACCATGAAAGAGAACAGAAACAGGGGGTGATGGTTTAGCCGGCAACCAGGGCGAACCAGAAAGTCCATCGGGCGGCCAGGGCGAAGCAGACGACCCATTGGGCGGCCAGGGCGAAGCAGACGACCCCTCGGGCGGCCAGGGCGGTGAAGACCCCTCGGGCGGCCAGGGCGGTGAAGACCCCTCGGGCGGCCAGGGCGGTGAAGACCCTCCGGGCGGCCAGGGCGGTGAAGACCCTCCGGGCGGCCAGGGCGGTGAAGACCCTCCGGGCGGCCAGGGCAGTGACTCTGGAACAGACACTGGCACTGGCTCCGGCTCTGGAACAGACACTGGCACTGGCTCCGGCTCTGGAACAGACACTGGCACTGGCTCTGGAACAGGCCCTGGCACTGGCTCCGGCTCTGGAACAGGCCCTGGCTCCGGCTCTGGAACAGGCACTAGAACAGTAATGGCCAAAGGGACAGACACAAACACAGAAACAGACGCTGGCTCCGGCTCAGGAACAGGCACTGGCTCCGGCTCTGGAACAGGCACTGGCTCCGGCTCCGGCTCTGGAACAGGCACTGGTTCTGGCTCTGGCTCCGGCTCCGGCTCTGGAACAGGCTCCGGCTCTGGAACAGGCACTGGCACTGGTTCCGGCTCTGGAACCAGGGACACAAAAGGTCTGAAGGGTCCTTCCAGGATCCGTGCCAGACGCTCCAGATAGTTGCTCGGTATTCCCCCGGCTGCGAGAATGGGTATCTCCTGATCTGGCTCTGGCTCTGGAACAGACACTGGCTCCAGCTCTGGAACAGCAGACACCAGCTCCGGCTCAGGAACAGCAGACACCGGCTCCGGCTCAGGAACAGCGGACACCGGCTCATGCTCAGCAACAGCGGACACTGGCTCAGGCTCTGGAACAGCGAGCACAGGCATGTCTAGGATCCGAATCAGATGCTCCAAATAGTCCATCCGTGCCCTCGCGGCCACGCGAATGGGCATCTCCTGATCCGTGTCTGACCGGGTAGACGTGGCGTGGACAGTCTCTGGCTGAGCAGACGTGACGTGAACAGTCTCTGATTGGACAGACGGAACCTGAACCGTCTCTGGCTGGGCAGACGGGACGTGAACCGTCTCTGGCTGGGCAGACGGGACGTGAACTGTCTCTGGCTGGGCAGACGGGACGTGAACTGTCTCTGGCTGGGCAGACGGGACGTGAACAGTCTCTCGACCACCTCCTCCACTGCGACCTCCACGGGTCCCGCGAAACTTGACCAATCGGGTCCCCTTAAAAAACTCCCTTCTCTCCCGCTTGGTGGCTGGGGAAGAGATGTTACAAAACATACTGCTGGATTAGGTGTGACGGAGTCCTTCTGTCACGGAACACACACAGGAGGCAGAAAATCCAAGAGCAGTAGTTTTTAATTAAAGGGCCATCCAAACTCGTAGTCATCCAGGCAGGGGTCAAAATCCAATAAGGCAATCCAAAACACAAGACAAAAACATGAACAAGAACAGGCACCAAACAGGAACAGAAGAGTGCGGACATTAAACAAGGACTCCGTAACAAACACTAACACAGACAGGGAATATATACACACAGAACTAACAAGGTGATGGGAAACAGCTGAGTGCAATAATCAGATAAGTGACAGAACAGAATGCTGGGAATTGTAGTCTAATGTGAATAACACCGTGAGAACGAGGACCCCTAGTGATAACCCAGGGAAACACAACCAGACACTGTGACACAAATCAAATCCGTTTCATTTTTTTAATTGGTGAACAGCAAAAAACACATAAAATCCAATGTTTCCAAACCACATCAATCTTATTTTTAAGATGTATACTGAATGTTTACATTTATATTTTTATGAAGCTGTATTACACTC